GGTGTGGGGATTCCTGGAGCTTGACAAAACAAACCGAAAGACATAATGCTAAGAAGGGCCAAGTGAAAATTTAAAAAGCCTCGGTCTTTGCGGAGCGGCTGAACCAACTCCACCAAACGCTTACGTCTGTTATTTCTTATGTGAGGGAAAAATATAGTATTTGTTTAAGCCACGGAGAGTCAGGTGTCTGTTACTTACAGCCGCGCGTACCACGGATGCCTGCTTATTCAGGAGAAAATGGGAAGAGGCAGGAGAATAAATAGAAAGGCTGTATACCACGCACTGCTGTGCAGAGAAAGCAATCCCATAGCAAAATGACCATTAAAAACATGGGCCAAATGGCATTTTTAACAATACCGAAGATGTGACAAGTTTCATTAACAAAAGTTAAATTAAGAACCCCTGGAACAGTAAGCATTCTATCGTGATTTAAGACCTAGAAAGGTCAAGACATCCGTGGGATGCGAGGCAGTGGGGCCCAAAGATACGCAGGACACAGCACCTGCTCTGTGGAGTTAATCATCTAGTTAGCACAGGAAGAGAGCAACACGGAAAGTTAAACGAAGTGTTTCAATAACAGTTCTAGACAGTAGAAGAGATGTCATAAAACAGTGCATGATTCATCGCCAAAAACATTGTTGCTGACAACAACTGCTGCAGGATTTCAAAGAAAAAGGTCATTTTGAGCTGAGAAAGGCCTGGGGAGACTTTACAGAGAAAGCAGGATCCCAGCTCACTCCGAGATGTAGTGGAGCCTGTGGGTGGGCAAAGGAAGCACATCTTAGAAAGGCTGTTTTGGTTTTTTTTTTAAATGTACATATATACACATATACATGCACATATATATACACACATATACACATATATATATACATATACATATATATATACATAAACTCCTCCAGCCAGGATGTTTAGGTGACTAGTGTAGGAAGGGGAGGCACTTGGGGGCCCAAGTGGATGATGGCAGGTTGTAAAGAAACACTGTGACATTCAAGAGAAAATTTGGCCAAAAGCTGGAAAAAATCCAAGGGTCCACCAACAAATGAATGGATAAACCAAATACGATATACAGTGGAATATTACTCAGCCTTCAAAAGGAAAGTTCTGGCACATGCTACAACGTGGATGAACCCTGGAGGCATTACTGGCTAAGTGAAATAAGCCAGTCACAAAGAGAAAATTCTGTTTGATTCCACTTTTATGATGTACTTAAGGTAGTTGAATTCAGAGACAGAAAGCAGAATGATGGTTGCCAGGGGCTGAGAGGAAGGGGGGTTGGGGAGTTAGCTCCTAATGGGGACAGAACTTCAGTGTTGCCAGATAAAACGAATTCTGGAGATGGACGGTTGTGATGGTTGCGAGATACGAATGTACTGAATACCACCGAAGATGGTAATGTTTACGTGCGTTATACCACATTAAAAAGTATATTTAAAAACAGAGAGAGAGTGGGGCGCCTGGGTGGCTCAGGTGGTTAAGCATCTGCCTTTGGCTCGGGTCGTGATCCCAGCGTCCTGGGATCGAGCCCCGCATCGGGCTCCCTGCTCAGTGGGGAGCCTGCTTCTCTCTCTCCCTCTGCCTGCCGCTCGGCCTACTTGTGCTCGCTCTCTGTCAAATAAAGACATAAAATCTTAAAAAAACAAAACAAAACAAAGCAAAACAGAGAGAATAGCAGCAGGCAAGAGAAGGTATAGACTGGGGTTCAGGGAGCGCAGGGTGGGAGAGAAGAGATTTAGCAGGTGGCTACAACCAACAGGGGCAGCACCTTTTCCTAGGCTCCAGGCCTGTGAGCCCCAGGGGCTCCACCTAGGAATTTCACAACTGAATGGTGAGCAGGTGGTATAGAGAATCCCTGTCCCCATTTTCTTTGGAAATACTGAACTCAATTTAACAAAAGACCTTTAAAAATCTTTTTTAAAATCTCTGACCTTGGAAATGGAGTAAGAGCCGGACACCTGCAGACACTCACTTCTGCCCACTGTCCGTTTCCCACTGGCCTTACTCAGAGGACGTGGACACTAAAAGTAGACAACTCAACCCCAGAGAAAGTGCACAGGAACACGGACAGCGTTTTCTCTAGCTTAGCAAAGAGGTAGCCGGAGCCAGCTCGGCAAGATGGCGCCATCTGCATCGTTGCACCTGGTGGGGCTGCTGGCCTGGCCAGGCTCCTGAGCTGCTCCTCAATGAGGGCGAAGTCCTGTGTTTGAGAACCACCACATGACAAACCCGACTGGCTGGAAGTCGGACTGACCTGGGGCACCTCTCTGTCTTCTTGTGGATCCATCTCATCAAACAGCATAATGAAGATGTTTAGAGTATGTAAGAAGAAATGGGTTGGAACAAACTTTGGAAACACTAATACAGTATATTCCATCAAGTGATGATAGCAGTTCCTTTGGATTCACCAATATGTTGAGTTAAATGAGGAAAAAATTGTATGTGAATGTATGTCAGGTCAGCATTTGTTTCTCATCGTTACATGAAAAAATCAAGATAGTTCTGTATTCTTCAGATTATGTATATTGTGACAAGGTGTAGAAAATGTCAGTTCTAAGGCTCATTATGAGAAATATTTCAATGTGGAAGTTACCGTCTGGTAACAGGGTCAGGGGTAATTAAAGACACATTGATAAGAAATCTTGTTTAGGAGACACATTTTTTTTCAATCACTGCTTAAGGATTTACTCCTTATATCAACTCTTTTTTTTTTTTAAAGATTTTATTTATTTATTCATGAGAGACAGAGAGAGAGAGAGAGGCAGAGGGAGAAGCAGGCTCCCAAGGAGCAGGGAGCCCGATGCGGGACTCGATCCCAGGACCCTGGGATCATGACCTGAGCCGAAGGCAGACGCTTAACCATCTGAGCCACCCAGGCGCCCTCCTTATATCAACTCTTAATTTCTAATCAAAATAGTCTTTGGTGGATTAGGGTGTAGAACTACTTTATTACTCAAAATAAAAATGAGCTCAAATACTGTTTTCTCCTAGAGGTGCCATTTTGGTAAGTCAGAAAGTAATGATGAATCCAATTATCAGACCAAAAAAAAAAAAGTTGGCAAAGTTGAGCTTCATGAAATGAACAATTCTATTATCTAGCCATTGCGGTCACTTTAACTGAAAGCTAGGAACCACCAGAGAATCCACCTGATGCACAGCAGACATTCAATAACTATTTGGAGATGCATGTACTCTCATGGTGAAACGGCTTTAGACCCCTCCAACAGTTATGAAGGAAAAATTGGGCTAGCCCTAGGTCTTTTCAGAATTCATGGGCACCCATCAATTGGTCTAAATGTGACAAGCTTTTTCCTGTAAGTGTGATCCTGGCTCCAAAAAGCCCTGGGCCCAGGGATATTGTGCCTGCCTCTGCCAATGATGATCTGTAATTCAGCTCATCAGGGGTCACTGGCCGCTGGAGCTCCGGTCCTCCCACTGAGTCTTAGGCAAGGCCTCCTGGCCCATGACTTGCTGAAACCACCATTTTTTTAAGTGGCCTTACTTTAAAGAACAGAAACAACTGAACTATGAATATTAAAACTTCTTACTGGTGTCACAAATAGAGGAGAATTACCTCCTCTGCATCCTTGGGTCCTTCTGCAACAATCCATTCTTCGACCTAAATAATTTCAATCCTCAAGTGGGTATGGACATCAGAAGATCAGAAATTATGCCTGGCCCATGGGAAGTTTAGATCACTGGTCATCCAAGTCTACATTTTTATTCAAGCTCTTCTCAATTTTTCTTTATACGCTTGTTCCTTTATTTTCTTCATTTCTAATATAGGAAAAGATGGCTAATACACGGGTTTTGTTGGGCTTCAGAAGTCTTTAAGGACAGACTTGTAAAAAAAAAAAAAGAAGAAGAAGAAGAAAAGCATGAAATGTGTCAGGGAAATGGAGTTCCTATCATTTCACTCACAAATTTTGCCTTTTAAATGTAGTTCTCCTGCCAACAGTTCGGTGAAAGATGGTTTCCTTATTGTCATTTATCAGCTGTGACAGGTAGCAACACTATTCTCAGATAGAGTTGCCACAATTATCTAGTAATGCCTGCAAGGCAGAAAACTGCTCAAAACTCCTTCCTTCTGGAATGCTTTTCCCAAAGGCAACAGTTCAAAGCAAACCTCTATTAACTGGAACACTGACATCTGCAGAATTCTCTGGACAGGAAGATCCCACCACTCCTGCAGTGATACCAGAAACCAAGACATAATTACTTACACTCCTGTCACCAGGAAATCAAGTTCAGCAACTGTTCTGTGTGTGGAAGACTTATCGACCCACACCGAGAGAATCATCACCCCATAAACAACCCAACCACAGACTGTTGGTGGATGTACTTCTTTCTGAGCAAGGATCTGCCCTTGTTAAACATCTCCCAATGGGGGAAAAAAAACCCTTTTTTCCCACCAAAATTCCATGTAACCAATGGGACACAATGTAAGATAGTACCAACATGAACTAAATTAGATGCACTTCTGGCTTATTTGCCCCTAGACATACTTACGAATGTGACATAAAAATTACACACTCCCTGCAACAAGGCTCATGACTCGTACTGTGCAGCCACATAAAAATCTAACATATTTTCTATCTTTAAGTATCTTTACTGATTTCTTTCTTCTATGTACCTTTTGTTTTATGTATTTTAGAGCTGGGGACAAGTGGCTGGGGGGAGAGAAGAGAGCCAAAAAAAAAAAAGAGAGAGAGAGAGATTTAGAAAGAGAATAAGGCGACGGAAGTGCCACAGGAGGGGGAAGCCTAGGGCCCATCAGAGGGCTGGGATGACCCATCAGATGGCCCGCACGTGAGACTTCCTTAACACCTTCAACCCGGTCCATAAAGACGCATCGCCCATCAACTCCGGGGGAAAGCACCCAGCACCCATCCCTCAAACTGTTCTCTGAGCATGAAAACATATGCGATGTGTTCCACAGACCATACAGAAATGACAAAAATGGAGAGCTAAGCATACAATGAAAACATAAAAACTGAACATACTTCTGTGTGGTAGATTTTAATAACATTGTAATAACATTGGTAAGGAGCCAAATTACAAAACGCCCTAGAATATGGAGTACAAAACCTCAGAGACAAAATAAAAACTCATGAAAACATAAGAGCACTTGAGAACGGTAATAATCTTTAGGATAAAGAACCCATTTTCTCAACAAAGCTACTGAGCACGTTTAATAAAAATTAAGGGAGATTAAAGATGAGGCGCACCGAGCCACATCCCCGAGCCGCAGTGACTGGGAAGGCGAGCTCTGTGCTGCTGAAGACACAGTGCCAGGAGCACAGATGAGCTCCCATTACCAACAGACCTGGAATAAACCACCGCGAGGCAGGCTGAACTTCTCACATCTCACTTCCAGGGTAGGAATTAATCGACTCCCTGCTTGAGCAGCCTTAGACATGCACCGTGTGGGCACACGGAGGAGCAGTGACTCTTCCACGTGGTAGAAGGGGCAGGTGCACGCGCCATCTCCATCCACACGACCCTGCTGCCCCAGCAGCCATGGTCTTGGGGGCAACAAGGGGAGACAGGCTGTCTGTGCCGGGAACAACTCATTATTCAGATAAAGTAACGTAAGAGCTCCGCGTGGGGCCCAAACCAACAGGGGTCCCCACTTCCGGAAGCAGAACGTGCCACCACCCCTGTGGGCAGCAGGACAGCAGAAGCAGAGAATATGCCCCGGGCTCAGCTGTGCTCATCCTTCCTCAGGAGAGCTGTGCCATCCTGTCTAGGATTTTGGGGTGGGTGGCGGTTTCCCTCCACGTCCTAAAGCCAATACGTCTGCATTCGCACCTGTCATGGGGGTCCTGTTTTTTTTTCCCCAGGGCACTACACGTTATGCTTCATTTGGGCCAGATGTTCAAATCAGTGCGTCTGTTCATCCTGCCAGGAACACAACAACAATTATTTATTTGTCCTTCCAGCACCTTAGCAGTGAGGAGTGGCCGTCTCATGCCACCAGCGTCCCAGCAAACCAGGAGACACAGGGGGAGGCACCCCACGCCAGCCCTGAGCGACAGGCCATCTACAGGCTCCTTGATTTTAAACCCTAAATCAATAGTTTAAACAGATGCACATTCCATGTGACAAGAGAGACAGTCGGGAAGATTTGAGGCTTTACATTCTTTAGATGTCTACTTTTGCTGGACTGGCTATTAAAAAGTTATGTGTAACTTCAAGATGAAAGGCATTAGCAGCTTCTTAGAAGAGGATAATCCCAATCTTTTGGAGATGTAATGAGATGTAACTCACTGAAGCTTCTGGCTCGGTTTGTTGTTAATTGAATCAAAGTCAATGACAATCGTGCTGCACTTTGGTGTGAATTTCCTAAACACAAGAAACAAAATATATCAAGATATTATCCAGCGAGTAGTTAAAGCAATTTGTTTACTTTGGCTTAACCTACATTTTCTGTGGGGGAGGAAAAAAATTTCTGGGGATTCGCTTGATATCTCTATAGGAGCCAATTATAGTGCACCATACCGAGAGGAACACGAACGAGAAAAGACTAAGACAAAAAAAAGATGCATGGGGTGGCTCGGTCTGTATGTTCTCCAGCAGCTGAGTTCATGAATTCAGGGAGTCAAAGGATTTCTAACAGGTTAGCTGCAACATGACACCCGATTACTAGTTTTCCCAACAGATTTATCTTCCTTCCTAGGAAATTTCTGCAGCCAACTTGGAATCACTCGAAAGCAAAAAAGGGTAAATTTTCTTTTGCCTCTTGTACACACAGCAAAAAAAAAAAAAAAAAAAAAGCAACCAACTAGCTTTAGTGAGGAGTAATTTTTAAAGTCCCATTCTAAAAATGCAGATGTAAAATAAACCCACCATGTAGTTTTACTCATTCGTGTACCTTCTAAAGCAGTTCAAAGGAAAATATTTGGGGACTAATCCTATTCTTTTAAAAACCAGTAAACAGTTAATATCTAATTATTATTATTATGTAAATAATCTGGATTTAAAGTCTCATAAGGCACAACAGTTAAAGAGGATTCATTACGTATAACCTCTATCCCCAGTGATGAACACAAGGGGTTAGGTACATTACTAATTACAGAACCCCACTGCTGACCACAGATGCTGTAAAGGAATTGCTTTGAAAGCTTTCAGTCCCAAATGAAGTTTCCACCATGAATCGAAGGTGGTTGAACCTGCTTACAAGTAAAGCATACCTCCCAATCTTTGCCTAGCACAGATAATCATAAAAGTCAGAATGACTTCAAATCTCAATTTAAAATGTTGCTGTCAGAAGAATTCCTGGTGTTTCAACCTAGCAGGTTACTTTCATCCTAAATTTTCGATGCCAGAATTGTTACATATGCAAAATTTACAAAGGTTTAATGTTAATATTACGAAACTTGTGATTTTTACAATGTCTCGCTACTAGGGTAATTTATTCCAAGCCCCAGAAAGCTCCTAATATTTAAGTGCAGGATCATCAGTCCGATTGTCTTCAGATACTTCTGCACTGTTCTTAAAAATCCACCCCCCACATCATCTTGAGATCCTCAGCCCATCGCATTTAAAAAGATGCTTCTGAGTGTGGATGTCAGGCATCACAAGTAGAAATTAAACAAATACGTTTCTTCATTCGGCCTTCCACCCCCTTTCCCCCAAGCTCCTCCCGCTTACCTGAAGGCCACCCCAGCCATATCAAACAGGCGCCTCGCGGCCGTCATCTCATCACTATCATGGTATTTATCAGATATGAAAATAACTTCTTTTATACCTTCAAAGGCAACAACAGAAGAAGCCTCCTTAGTATATACACATAGAGCTACTGCGACAGACACGCAGGGGCAGACAGAGCCCCGTAGTGTCCGTGATGAATCACCTTTCGGGGGGGGGGGCTTGCCCACAACGTCCACTTACTGAAATACACATCTGCCCCGTTGCAATACAGCAGACAATGGATTGTATTAAATCTGCCCTCCAGTCTTTATGGATTTTTTTTTTAACAAATGCAAAGTGAAAACATGTCAAGTGGTCAAGCCTTGATCCGATTAACAAATTTTCTTTACTGCGGGCAATCAAATTTCTTTATTCACATGGCGACTACTCTTAACACAAGAGGCTGATGGTTTCAGGGGATGGAGGGGGAGGGTGGTGTGGGGGAAGTGCCACCATGCTTCCAAAAATGGCTCCAAGAACTGATTCCAGCCAGCTCCACCAACAGCAGATCTGTTTTCTTTTCCTGCCCCCGAGGGCAGTGCTAACTGGAGGGTCAAGAGTCTGGGGGGCATTCGAGACACCTCCCTGCCTCCAAAGGGACTACGTGCTGGGTAAGGAAAATTCCCGGAGGGTCACGCACCACCAGGGAGGGAGCCCACGACATTCTTTACCGAAGGCCGGCCTCTGATTCTGATACCACCGGACCTCTTCTCAGAGACCATGGGCTCCTACCCTTTAAACCATGCATCTGGCTAACATGATAAGTCTTTAAATCTCAAGCTGAGTTTTATGGCGACACAGTGTAGCCGAATCTCAGATGTGACCGTATGAAAAAGGTGAAATATTCAGAATACAATGGTGTAGATTTATGGCAACTGTAATGTAAGGAAAACTTAAAAGTAGTACCATTCAAGTCTGATGACATTTATATGCAAAGATATGTTTAGGTCCTAAAACATCTACCATATATTAATACAAATTAAAATTTCATATACAGACTCCCAGCTGACCTTGCTTCTGACAGAAGTTCATTTCTCTCCCTCCCCCTAATCTATGCATGACATGTCAGAGAACAGTAAATTGGCAGTAATTATATGCAATGCCTGTGTTGTTTTTTGGCAGCTTGCAGTTTAAGAAGTTGCAAACTAAATTAAAAACATGCTAAGAATCACAGAAGATGCAATTAGTCTTAGAATACCTGGCACCATTCAAAAACAAAACACAGGAAATACCTTGCAAAGTTGATAGTGCAATTAATTTAGATCTAAACAATAGCAATTTCAGATCAAGCGCTTCTGCAATGAGCTGCTGATGAGCAGGCAACAATGCAAATGTGACAAATGGAACAGGCCCAGCTCCTACCTGCCTGGATGATGAGCTTCGCACATTCATTACAGGGGAACAAGGCCACATACATAGTGCAGCCTTTCACATCAGCTGAGTTTTTGTTCATGATGGCATTCAGCTCGGCATGGCACACTGTGGGTTTGAAAGACAAGGAAAGAAAAACTTTCATCGCGACTCATGAGGAATTTACTAACGCTGCTAAAGCATTGCACTCGCCCCTTTGAAAAAACATATGTAACAGACTCGATTTCCTAAAAATTGATTAGAAACGGAAAGTACCGAGAATACCAAATGAGGGCCACGTGGTCCGACAGGTTGGCGATTAGCAGCAAAACCGTTCGCGGCTGCGGCCTTGGGTCTGTAAGCGCCTCGAGCAGCCAGGAAAGGCCAAGGTCAAGTATCTTCATCCACCCTCAGCACAGCAATAGCTCACGGCTCCACAAGACCCTGGGGTATGGGACTGCGCACACAAAATGGCTCATTTGTGTGTTGATACGCACATGCAGGGATATTTGTTTGCTGTGACAGTGAAGAGGGCAGGGTGCAATTTTAAGAGCAAGAGAATCAGGAAGTGAAGCTGAGCATTTCTATCCCGACGGATTTCCTTCATCTCATGGCTCTCAGCCCCCATACACACGAGAAAGGCGCTGGCAGATAACCAGTGGTTTGGCTTACGTTAGAAAAGCCTTCATCCACTTAATGAAAAGTCAAGTTCTTGCTATCAGGGCCCATTCCACCAACGATCCCCAAACAGTGATCCCGGGTCATTCGCAGACCTGCCTGAATTCAGAGTTAAAGAGAGCACCTTCCTCTCTTCTCCCCCAAACCTGTAAGCCCCGCCGTCTTCCCAGGCGTTGGCGAGGTGTCCCACCACCTAACCCACAAGGGCGCTCCTCCTCTCCAGGAAGTAGTTCTAACCCCCTGATTGAGTTGAGAATCCCCTACCTGCGCTGTGAGGTCACCCTATTGCTCTAATACTGTTATTTAAATTGCTGGGTGTGTTGCTAAAACTCTATTATCATCTCCCTGGGGCAGTGATTTGCAAACCTGTCTGCACTCATCTGGGATGCGGCCTGGGATTAAGAGACTCCCCGCCTGATTCTAATGTGCAGGCGCCTTGCAGAAACACTTCGTTGCAGAATCCCCTGGTAACTCCTAGGAGACCTAACACATACTAAGCACACAAGTGCTAAAGTAAATGTTTGTTGAACAAATTAATGACAATCTGGCCATGGTCCAAATCACACAGAACTGCCGGAATTATAAATATGGGGGCCCTCAAGGGGGCCCCCACCCCCTACTCTCTCCAACTCACCAACCTTCTGCACTGAACACCTTCTTCTGGGAGCATGGGAGCCTTAAATGAAGAGTAGCCTACACTCAGAGCTCTTGGACATTTTAGCCCTGACTACTCACTTAGTCAATGAGCCTTTTTTAAGATCACAGCCCATTGGAGATTAATCCCCCGCCGGCAGGCCGCAGAGGGACCTGAGCCACTCTCCCGGGGGGACGGGACGAGAGGAGAGAGAAGAAAGGCTCCCTGGCTCAGTGGCTTTGAGGACGTTGGCCTCAGAGAGGCCCCCTTCAGCCCCATCTACTTCCCTGGTGACCAAGATGTTCCCAAGCCGGGATTAACACTGCTCGGTGTTAAAAAAAAAAAAAAAAAATTAGATGTAATTGTTTCTTTTATTTCCCCCTTGAGGGCAGAGACCGGTCTTCGAGGTTCTTTCCAACTCCCCCAGAGTCTAATGCGATGCCAGGAACATAATGGGTGTTAAATATTTATTGAATGAATAAAGGAGGAGATGCAGATTCCAATCATTGATGGTGACGTTGGGAAATACAAAAAGTCCTCTTAAATTCAAATAGCAAGAGGATGCTTTCCCATCTAATAAATATTTTTGGATGGTGTTGGTATTAATCTTCAGCACTACAGTTTCTGAGTCTGTGCAGAAACACTGTTAATAACCATCTTCTTTTGAATCTCTAAAAAACGGTCACATTGACTACAACCGTATTCCTATTCAGCTGAGGCAGTTTGGGGATAAAACCGAACATTGTATGGTCTGGATTCATTAATGAAAATTACCACGTGAAACAGATTCTCTTGAGCTGCATCCCATATCCCCGTATAAAGGGTGGCTGATAGAAATAATACTTGGGGTCATCAACAGAATTCCTTTCTCTTAGCTACAAAATCATGAGAAGAAAAATACAAAGCTTCTTGTTAGAAACATGAGGTCTACTGGGCTGTACGAACAACTGAATGTCGGGCACACAGGAGACTCTATTTTTTTTTTAAGTTTTAAGTTTTACTTTTGATCTTTATTTTTTCATTTAAATTCAATTAATTAACAAACAGTGTATTCAAAGCCCCGTTGGCACTTAAGGCTGTGTGACCCTTGACAAGGCGTGTCCTTTGGGTGGGCAGGAAGAAGAGACTCTGAGAAAGTGCATTTCCAGCTAACAACATAAACGTGAGTTTTGAAATACCAAGTAATCTGATTTCTAGCTTTTTCCTATTGTGCGTCCAGTTTCCTCCCTCCTTCCTCTAGAAGGGCGGGATCTTCTCCAAGACAGGCTCTCGACAGCAAGTCATGAGCCTTCTCTCCCAAGGCCAAGGGCAAGTGGAAGCTTTGGCCCAACTTCCCCAGGGGGGCACCAGCTCCCCCCAACTCAGGTTCTCTCCATTCTGTGTGTCCTTGGTCTCCACTCTCAAGAGGCCATCTTCTCAGCATTTCAGATCTCTTTCCTTCTTCCTTTTGAGATGAAATTGTCCTGCCTACAACGGCAAGACTTATTTTTAAAATAATCATCTCTTGACTTCGTCACGCATATACAACCTCTAGTTTTTGCTAAACCGATACTTTCCAAACTGTAGGTCAAGAAATCCGTTTAGTGAGTTACAAACAGCTTTTCCCCCTTTTCAATGGAATGGATGAAAACAGAAGAGATCAGAATGCGTCCCACATGGCATAGGTTAAGTGCTGTTTCTAAAAACTATCTGAGGGGTGTGTGTGTGTGTGTGTGTGTGTGTGTGTGTGTGTGTGTGTGTTTCAGGTATGAACTTTGTTTGCTGGGTCGCCATGTAAAAAGTGTGTAACTACGGGGGCGCCCGAGAGGCTCAGTCGATTAAGCCTCCGACTCTTGGTTTTGGCTCAGATCGTGATCTCAGGGTCGTGGGATCCAGCCCCATGTGGGGCTCCACACTCAGCATGGAGTCTGCTTAAGACTCCCTCTCCCTCTGCCCCTCCCCGCCTGTGCACTCTCTCTCATTCTCTCTCTCTCAAAATAAATAAGGAAATCTTTTTTTAAGTGGGTGACTACGGAAACCTGTTGACTCTGTAATATGTTATTAATATTTACAACCACTGGAAAAAAACAAAAAAAAAGGCCCTGATTTGTAGAATCTGCCGATTTCAGTGGGGTGACTACTCCCACGTGGCCCGTTTCCAGGTCCTGGCATGACCCAGAGTTGGGAAGAGAGAAGCAGCTCTGCTCAGGTGAGCTGGTATGCGCTAGCTCTCACATACACCCCTGAATAGCCTGGATGGCCTTCTAGTCGCCCAAACCCACTGCCTCTCTGGGTGCAATGTCTGGATTCGCCTGCCCACCAGGCCCTCGGTGAGTGACAGCTCTCCACTCGAAACCCTCTCAGGCACCAGGCCCTGTGGGGTCTCCTACTTTTCTGTGGGTCCTTCTCTTTCTCTCGCCTTTCAGGTCATTTTCCAAAGTTCGATCCCGCTCTTCCATTTTTCTCCTGTAGTCACTGAGTATTCATGCATCTGTCGATTCTCCAGGAGCAGGTCGATTTAGTCAGACCCAGTGTCCCATCTTCTCCTCAGGCCTTGGTTTTGGATGGTCTGAGGCTTCTCTGTGACTTTTCTCTCTATGATAAATACTCCATAGTTATCTGACAGCAACAAATGAAAGAATAAATTCATCTTTTTCTAGTGCTACCATTTTTATTGTGTCACCCGGGAAGAACTACAAGAGCTACAAAGAGATGAGAGCAAAAACCAACCAACGAGGAGGGGTTCCATTCATGACCTTGAGATGCACACAATTTTTATATTTGTAGTAGGAACAGGACCGGGTATCCCAAACATACACAGTCCCTAGGAAGTATTCATAAGATAGCTAAATTGTCCCCAAAAAAGACACATTTGCCAACTACCTCCCTGGAATAATGCATCTATGACTAAGCAATAAGCAAAAGAAATCTCCAAATACTACAGGTATATTTGATAAAGCACAAAGACTGACACAAAACCTTTCAATTATTCTCACCACTGTTTAAAAGGAAAAGAATCAAATGCTGAAAATATCAGATTAATGCTTATAAAGTTCTTGATTGCCAGAAGGAGAGCCTCTGTTTCAGGTAATTATAAGACAATTCATATGCTTTGGTCTTTTTTTTTTTTTTCTTTTCTATTACTAACTGTCAGAATTGAGAACTGCATTAACCTTGGACCACTGAGAAGAGATTGTATAATTAGAAAACTGTATTTTTCAAATTCCCTCTTACTAGGGCTTGATTAATCCTTACTGTCTCAGGTAGGCGGTTCTCTCGAAGTTTGACAAATTAACAGGATATATTCCATCCTGGCTAGATTTAAGAGATTCAACATTTTACAGATTTGACTTTCATCTCATTTGATACAAGACTAAGACAACATCTATTTTAGATAGTACTATTATTAAGGTTACTTAAATAGGTTTTTTTAAAGAAAAAAAAAAACACCTGAATAATGCTAAACAAAGGTTAATTGCAGTACAAAGAATTCAGCGGTAACAACGTGGCTCTACCCTCATCTCCTGTGTGCTACTGGGCCATGATGGGAGATACTGGGCCTGATAAAATTTGGAGTCAGGAAAACTAAGCTTCTCTTCTGGTTAAAGAAACTCTCCAGGGGCGTCTGGGGGGCTCAGTTGTTAAGTGTCCGCCTTCAGCTCAGGTCATGATCCCAGGGTCCTAGAATCGAGCCCCGCATCGGGCTCCCTGCTCCGGGGGAAGCCTGCCTCTCCCGCTCCCGCTCCCCCTGCTTGTGTTCCCTCTGTCGCTGTGTCTCTCTCTGTCAAATACATAAATTAATTAAAAAAAAAAAGAAAGAAACTCTCCAGGTTTGGTT